ATATTTGATTTTTAAATCATGCGATAACAAAAAGAATACGTTGTGTGTGTGTTGCTAACTTTGCTTTTTTTCATGGAACTAAAGTAATATGCACGAGTTTTGAATGATTTTTTTGCAAAAGGGACCCCGTTTAGTATAAATTTACACACCTCGTTATCATTATTATTTTTTTTAATTCTCGTTGAGAAGGTGTTGATTTTACTAATTACGTAATTTATTTTCAAGTCAAAAATATTTTAAACAGAATCTAATTTCACGAGTTGTAATATTGTGTTAAAATATCAGGATATCCAAAATCACAAGAAAAAATTGAGCAATAAAGGGAAAAACACGTTCGAAAAACCCCTTATATTTATGTTAAAATGGGCACAAATAAAGCACGTTAAAAGGAATTATTTTAATGCGCAATTCAAAACTCGCACGCTGTCAAAGTACAGCATTAAAAATATCAGAATTTTTTTAAATCATGGGGAAAAGCGCAGTATTAACTACCAAGAAAACTATCAAAATCCCTTTATATTTACGATGAAATTGGTGTAAATAAAGAGCGTCAAAAAGTGATGTATATAAATATCTGGATTTTCAAAACCTTGTAGAAATGTGTAGCAATAATTACCAGAATAACGATTGAAAAAGAATTAGATTTGCGATAAAATCGGCACAAATAAACCACACCGAAAAATGGTTAAATGAGTGATTATTTACTCGCAATTTGAAAAATGTTCCTAAAATATAGAAATTTTAAAAACTACAAGGGAATGAGTAGAAATAAATGCCGAAAAAAGAATTAAAAGTCATTTAGATTTTCTAAGAAGTTTGCCCAAATAAAGCATCTCATAACTTTCAAAAATCGTGATTTCATACAACACCGAAAAGTCATTGGATATTTACGATGAAATCGGCACACAGGAAGAGCGTCAAAAGTGATAACTAAAATTCGAAATTTATGTATCATAATAATGACTTAATAAAAATATTGGAATTTTCAAAATTATGTGTAAATGCATAGTGTTAACCATAAAAAAAAGCGATCGAAAAACTACATTGATTGAGATTGGGTGCATTAAAAACTTAAATGCGAAAAATTACACATTTTTGATTTTTTCTTTCCAAATTTTGTTCAGATTGCTGCAGCGGGCCGCACATCGAGGGTTGGCGAGCCGCAGGTTGTGCACCCCTAGTTTACTTGATGCATATACTAGTTAATAATTGACTATGAATCTATGTTTCTTCCTACTCCATTCAGAATTAATAAGAACGCGGAAGATAAAGTTTCTTATTAAAGAGTAATTATTAGACCTAATTCTAGTTCTGATTTTAGTGGTAAAATTTATAGCCATATTAAGTAATTCAATAAATTATAAAAATTATAGCAATAAATTGTAAAATTTATAGCAATAATAAGTAGAACATGATTTATATGTAGTTTTATTGCTTTATTAAAAAATTATAGTCTCACAAATTTTTATCATTGATGTGTCCGGTGAATAAAAAGTTGTGTATTTGTTTTTTACATATATTTATGCGAAAAATAAAAAATAAATTTAGAGATTGAAAGTTTATTTACTGTATTAATCTGATATTTTAAATGAATATTTGCTGTTAGTAAAATAAAATGAAATATTTTGCTTTTAACTAAAGTATCTAATGCTACATCTCGTTATAGAAAAATTGTCAATTTTCATAAATAAATTGAGGAAGTTTTTTTTTGTCAGAAATATACCTTTTTATTCATACACATCACAAATAAGTTTAATATATAGAAAAAATCTAAAACCATAAATTAAATCTTACTTTTTCAAATAAAAAAAAAATTCTATCTGTCATAAAAATTCTTTTGCGTTTACCATTGAAAGTTTGAATATTCATAAAAATTAATTATTAGTGTTAAAAGGATTATTAAAATTTGTGAGGCAGAAGAATAAACTTTGGACTTGTGGGCACAAGTTTTTCAGTTTTTTTTTTAAACAATTAAAACCATTTAATAGAACAATGGTGCCACACAATATCCTTGGAGTCATCTAATTAATCATTTATTACAGATATTATAACAATGTTTTATTTTTAAGGCATTCAATATATTTTACCAAAAAAAATAGACAAGACAAAATGCATGTTACAGTATTTTATATATTTATATTCAATGAAGATTATGCAGATAACAGTTAAATTTAAAAAAAAATTTCTTACATTAGTTTTATAGCAGGGCTTTTATTTTTCAGTCAGAAATATAGATTTAACAGTTAAAATTTAAGTCTTGTCTCATTTAAATGAAGATTCTACTTTGTTTCTTTTTAGATGTATCTTTTTTACACTGATTATGTTCCCAAACGAATCAGAATATACTTTAAGGTGATCTTATTTTATTTTAATTTAGATTCAGCACTTAAATAATAACAATGAAAGCTAAGCTTAGCTTTGTCTTACATTAGCCACAATTGACCCTATTTAGTTTCTTATTAGATAGTGTTCGCCGCTTAAAGAGTACATAATCAGTGAGCTTTTTATCTTAAACATGGCTCAAAATGAGTATTGAAAGAAATGGACAAAGCTAGCAATGCGTTTTTGAAAAATGGAGACGGCACAAAATGCGAAATTTCAATATCTGAAGAGTGAGTCCACGAAAAAAATATTGAATCAATATGAAATTTTATAAACTTTTTTCTAAACAAAAAAAAGTGATAGAATGAAAGCCTAAAAAGTAGTAACCAATAAAAAGGGGATTGAATTTAGTAAAATATTTTTACTGATTACTTTCAGAACTTTATTTAAGGGTTACTTTCATTTGGTAAAATGGGAATTCATGGCTCACTTCCAAACAATGTTTCAAATTTCACTTATTTAGATCTAAAAGAAACAGTTATTCATCTTTGAAATTTCTTTAATTAACAAAATCAATCATTGATAAATTTTTGAATATTTCTAACTACTTTTTTGTCTTTTATATTTAGTACAAATATAATTCTGATAATCAAACAAAAAATTTTAGGAACTATTAGATTGTTATTAGTTATTAAAAAGTACGGAAGCATATTTTTGCTCATAATTAGAGTTTCAGAAAAAAATATACAAAAGGGACACCGGTTTGCCATCTGTGTAAACATTAAGGAAGTAATGTCTTTAGGAGGAAAAGTTAATGAGCAGGAAGTAAAATTTTTGATTTTGCAGAGATTTTCAAGATATGTTCTTTATGTAAAACTAATGCACTTTTTTTTAATTTCAGCAGAAAAAAAATCATGTTTTTTTTGGGGGGGGGGAAGATCCTTTGGAATTTTGAGAACAAAACATCTATTTACATGCAATACTTTTAGCGAAAAAAGTTAATCATAACACTGACCACTGTTTTGTGTTCTATACCAACTATTAAGATATATGTACTTTTGCATCAAAATTCTTAAATTTTGACTACAAAAATCTACACTTATACTAACAGCAAACCACTAAGGTAAATATTTATGAGAACACATACTAATGAGTAGTCCCTAAAAAAAATCCGCATATTTCTGGTGTACATTTGGAGCAACCTTAAATTTGACCTCAGAGTACTATAATTTTTCATACATTCAAGATGATTAACTGTCTTCACCAGTTAAAGTATAGCAGAAACAAAATCATTTGATAGATTTATGGTTCCTAACTCAACTTTTATACACAGGGTATCTACTACATTTTAGATTTTCAAATTCATGACTAATTTCAAGAATTTTTCATGACTTAACGAAGCTACTATTTTCTCCGACAAAAACACAATAATAAATTTAAAAAAGCATTATAATAACATTAGTTGAAATGATAGGTATAACCAAAACTAATATACTATGCATCTTCATATTGATAGATTTTAAATTTAAAAAACAGAGTAAAGAAAGAGTTGAAACAATAAAATAGCTGAAAAAAATACAAAACCAAAAAAAAAAAATTCTTTTTTTCTGCAGAATTTTATTCTAAAGATACTTTTCTTGTTCATCGTAAAGGGAAGAAATATTCGTGATTTTTCTGTTTTCATTTCGGAATTAAAAAAATTTGTCAATGACTGGTTTGCTTCAGCTAGAATTTTAAATTGATAAAATAATAAAAATTCTTAAATGGCAATTTAAAAGATAATTCGTTCTAGAAATTATGTTTTTTCTTTCATTTTTTGAAAGAACACCATAATTTTTAAAGAACATGATAAAACATTTTATATTCTAATAAAATATGACTGTGAGTGATGATTTTGTTATGAATTCAGATATTCGGGACAAGATAAAATGGGGGGGGGGGATTCCATTTTAAAAATTAGATTTTTTAGCAATCTAAATCCATTACTTTACAAGATTTTTTCTTTTTAAAAATAGTTAAAATCATGACTTTCCAGGTGCGCGGATACCCTATATATAATATGGCCCAAACTTTTTAAGCCCATACTCGAGTAATTGAGGAAATAAATGTGGTTATGGGAAAATTGGGAATTGTTTAAAAAAATGTGATTTAGGCCCAATGAGAATATTTGACAGCTCCTAGCAGCTTTGCCACGAGTGACAACAAATGTGGCTGAAGGATGTAACAAACATACAGCTGGGTTGTTATAAAGCCGTGGAACAATATTAGGGATGATCATTTGTCTCTTGCAATGGCATTCCATCATCACACTGGCTATAGAAGCGGTGTGGTGCTGTACTTATATGACAAGAAAATATTATATATGTGGTAAACAATTCTGCAAAGAAAGAAAATAGTATCTTGATCATCCAATTTTGCTCATAAACTCAATAAAATTTGAAGGTAGTATTTTAAAAAATGTTAATAAAAAAAGCATAAAACTTTCCTGTATCACACTTGGATGGCTTTTATTGCTGAAATGAGAAATCATTTAGCAATGGCAAAGGTATTTAAATAATTTTTATTTAAATCTTTGAAAATGTACTAAATTTTAATTAGTGATTTGACCAAATACCAAATATTCGGCTATAATAAATAAATCCTAATTGCACACAAAATACTATAATTATAAATCCTAATTGCACACAAAATACTATAAATTGAATGATTATAGTTTAAACTGTTTTATTTTTATATTGAAGCATTTTGTACACAAGTTTGACTAAAGATTTTTATTACTAACAAGTATAAAGCATCATAAATCTCAAAGCAATTAAGCTATCTCAAAGCAATTAAGTCATATTTAAATATTCAGCTATTTAGGAATTATTTTTTGCAATCTTTATTAGTTTTTTTAAAAGGTTTCAAATAAATTTCCTCAAAAATATAAAATTATACAAATGGACTTTCTTCACGTTTCACGGCATCTACCACGGCTTAACCAGATATACTCTGAAATACATGGCGCTGCTATGCTCAACTGCTAAATGACTCCTAATCTTTCTGTGATCTTTTCATTTTCTTGTCAAACTATTTATAAGCAAAGAGAGCTTATTTGATTGGCTACTTATAAATAATCGAATGGTCAGACATTCAAGACCCGTATGCTATAAACTTTTGCTAAACCTAATTATTGCACAAGCTCTGTTTAGCCAGAATGTAATTTCATAATTCACAGTGTTCAGTCAATTGAGAAAAAGGTCAATGTTTCACTCCGTATACTTTGGTGCCAATTGTTCAATTCAATTCAATGCTTCAGCTCTCTTTCTAAAATATACAATTTCATATTTTTCATCTAAGTGAATGGTAGAAAGCAAAATAAATAGCATCATTTAGAAATTTTTGTACAGGTATTATTCTAAAGGTTATTCAGATAGAATGCATTCTAAAAATTTATTCAAAACTTTAAAAATATGAAAAAATAAAATCAGTTTTTATTATAATATGTTAGTACATTACAAACATTAAAAAAAGTAATCTGCAAAGATTTGAGGAACAGACATATTTTTCAAATGATAGAATACATCCAATATATGAAATAAAATGACAAGAATTCTACAAAAATAATAAATTATGTTTAATATTAACACAAATATTAGCTTGAGCTAATATCACTCTTAAGCTCTCTATATGTCTGGTAATTCAAAAATTTAGCTAGAATCTGCTCACTGTTGTCAAGGAGGTAACATAATCTGGATCTTCATCACTAAATGCTGTATTATGTAGATAATGAAAGCAATGATGTTGCTTATCTTATTAGCATTGCTTCATTTTTATCAGTTTCTGAAATTAATATTCTCAAATATATAACGATAAGAAAGAAAACTTGAAATAATAAAGCACTTTTTGCAAACATGCATTAAAGATTTAACATTTAGCAATTGAAAAAAAAAATAAACATTTAAATTACAAGTAAAAATGCAAAGCTTTTATAATCTACAAATCTGAACGCATGACATAATACATATTTTCCCACATATACCTAGTAGTTAATATTGAATTTATCCAGATTTTGCAAGGAAATGACACAAGTGTAATGAGCACAAAATGTTGACATCAAATTCCCTTATTTTTACTGAGCGATTGTGGCAATGCAATGAATGCAATCTTCCTGTGATACAGGAAAAAAGTGGCTAGTTATTTAATGGGCTCTTTTGTCTTGGGCACGCACATATCTGTAAAACAATTGCAAACATGTGTTTTTATAAACACATTAAATTTATAAAAGGTTGCCAATTTGTGTACATGCATCAAAAAAGCTTTTTTTTTATAACCCTAAAATGTTTTAACTTCAAAAACCTTTATAAAAATATTCTCAATTAAATTTTTATGTTTATTTAGAGTTCTTAAAAAGTATTAAAAATCTAGCAAAATTGTCAAATTATTTAAATTAGAATTTCAAATTATTAAAACTAGAATTTTAATCATAGGTTTATGTTTTCTTCTAAAATAAGCTACCCAAATTTCTTCCAAACAGATTGGACAGTCGGATGATTCTTGAAAATACCATGTTTCCAGCGGGTGAGCAAACACAAAATTTTGGATTTCAAGAACTGTTCGGAAAATCAGTTCATCGGTTATTTCATAGTTTTCCAAATACTTTGTCAACATGATGTCTTTCAATCAACGTATTCCGCAAGATTTCCATATTCTCAAGGCAATGGATCCAGAAATATTTACCTCCTTGAGGTTCTGTTTCAAAAAGTATTCCAGTGCATGGTCTTTGCAGATATAGCCATCAGGATCCAGCACTTTAATGCAAATCATGTCCATGTTGATGACCACGACCTCGGACTCTTCCAAAAGGTTCACGGCGTTTGGTAAAGTAGGTCAGCAAATATCCACATGGGCAACCCATATAAATTTATATAGGCTTCCGATATAAAAATATCCATATGGGTTGAAATGGGCAACCCACAAAATTCCATATGGGCTACCCATCTACAAGACCAATAGATGGACATCTCAGGGAGATCTGTATGGGTTGCCCATTTAGACCTATGTGGGGTTTTCACCGGTTTAGAAAGAAGCATAAATTGCTTTAAAATCAGGATTTAAATTTTATTTTGTGTCCACATGCTTTGTGTTCATTTATTTAGTAAAAGAAAAATTTTAAGTTGAGTACAAAATTTCATCATTTTGATAATATGGGTTGGATGTGAGCTAGTAATGGGGAGATGGGGCCTATAAGAACCCCACAAACCCAACTGGTTCAACACGGGCCCCATTTCTCTGTGCTGTTTGTTTTAAAATATTTTTAAAAAATACTATCTAACTGATCTTAAGAATTTTTCAGAAAAGATGCATCCAGTTTGCTAACAAAGACACGACCAAAAAGAGGCCAATTATTAAAACACCAGCAAATTACTAATTTTTAGAAATTGGAAATTCTATATTCGAACTTGTTGGCAATTATCTTGGTTTAAACATTAATGCCTTAAACGATATAAACACAGAAATAAAGAGACGCATTATAGCAGCTAATCAATGCCTTCTCGACTTAAGAACACTTCTAAAGTTAAAATTTATTAAAAGATCAACAAAAATAATGCTATATAAAACAATCATTAGATCTGTCTTAACTTACAGATCCGAAACATAGTCTTGAACTAAATCACAGACAGACTGGCTTCCTGTTTTTGAGAGAAAAGCCTTGAGAAAAATTTTTGGTGCTATAAACGTGGATGGCTTATGGAGACTATACAATTTTCAACTATAATTAATGGCTATTCAAGGGAACTGATATATCAAAATAAGTCGAACTGATTAAATACATCAAAATAAGTCGCTTAAAGCTTGTGGGGCACATCTGTTGAATGGACCCTTCTTCCTTGACATTTAAGATCGTCAATTACAAACCAACGGGAACTAGAATTAGAGGCAGGCCTAAGATCAGAGGGCTTGACTGCTTGGAAGAGGATTTCAAAATCCTAAAAATTACTAACTGCAGAACAATTGCCGAAAGGAGCAGAATGTAGAAAGGTTCTCTCCCACAAATGGTTGTCATGCCAATGGAAGAAGATTCTAAAAAATACTTTGTCACAACTAGAATGTACTAATTATCAAAAAAGGGCTAGTCATTTAAGAAATAAAACAAGATAAATCATAGTAAACAAGAAAACACAAATTAAAATATATACATATACATACCTCAGGCTTTATTCTTTCTCAGTCATAGTTTTCATAAGTCTGAATTATTGCAACACACTCAATAGGATGAAACTGAATAAAACAAAAAGACATGAATAAATAAAAATAATTATATACAAATGATCATATTATAAAAACATCCCTATTCAATTCCACTACAGAGAACGGGGGCTACTGATTCATAAGAAAAAATTCTGAAAATATGCAACAATATTTTTTAATGGCAGAAAGATCTTTAGAATAATAAACAGACCTTTATTACTTAGAATTAAGATTAAAAAAAAATTTTAGACTAAAAATTTCCCCATGGATGCTGAATTTCCTCCAAAGCCTTGCTTGTACGGTCAGATATATTCTGCTCACCTGAATATAATTAATAACAACAAATCTTGAGAATAATTTTTAAAAAAAATTATACATTGAGATCACACAATTATTGTGAACACTTTTATTTTATTTATTCAAAAAAATCTGTCTATATTTTAACAGAAAAGAATTAAAATTAATATTTATATTGATAGTAATTAACAACTCATAGTTATTAGTTATAATATAAACCCAATAGTTATAATCAGGGTTGGCAGGTTTTTGACATGTGACAGTTTTTGACGGTTTAAACCGTGGCGTAAAAAACCTCACAGTCAAAAATGTCAAAAAACTATATTCATATGTGAAATTTAATTAATACATAAAATTTATATATTTTTTATAAAGGATAGTGTTTCTAAATATGTTCTAGAAAAAATAAATTTAAAATTTTGAAGAAACACTTATATTTTGAATAGTAACCAAAATCTTGTACTTTTGAAAGCTCACATCTTTTGTAATATTATGTATTCATTTTCATGTGTTATTGAAAATCTGCAGTGATATTATTAAGAAATTTATTTATAACCAAATTTAGTGTATAGTATAGATTATACTAAAAATTAGACATTTTTAAAGATAAACATTAGCAGTTTTGTACATTAGACATCTTTTAAAGAAAAATCTTTTTAATATTCTTTTAAATCTTCTTAATAATCTTTTTAACATAAGACAATACAAATTTAAGTGCTTTCTGTTAAATACACAGAGTAGTTAGTGTCGATTTACAGTATATTCAGCCTATTCATTTACTATGCTGAAAATTTAGTTTATCCAAATACTTGTGAATTTCATTTTGCTGAATACTATATAGTTTTGTTGAATATCTAAATATTCAGCTGTTGAATAATTACTTCTTGCTTTCAAGATATGCATTATTTGTATTCTTAATACAAGTGGAGAAAAAAAAATTAAGAGATAAAAATTGTTTTAAAATGATAAGTGTAATAATTATAAATAAATATAATAAACAATATGAATTATATTTATCATTATTCACAAATATAACTACTTTTAAATTCAAATTAACATACTGGATAATAAAGATATTCGGTATAACATTAAAAAAAATTTTTTATACACTTGTATCTTGTATCAAGTTTGTATTTATACAACATAACTTGTAAGTTCCTTATAAATATTAGTTATATGTTCCTTATATGTCAAAAATGCATAGTAATAAACTTTTAATTTTCTTAAGTATCAAAAAAAAAAATTTTTTTTTCAAAATATAAATATTTAAAAAAATTTTGTGCAAAATTTTTCTGCACATGCATTTGAATATAAATTTCTGAGATTTTAAATCTGTTATTTTACCTTAATTTTAATTAAAAAATATTTTAAAACCTGCTGATTACCTATAGTATAATTAAATTTCAATATAATGCATGGCAACTGTTGGTAGTTTTGAAGTTTATATATTTTTTTGGCAAACTTTAGTTTTTGACATTTTTGACGGGTTTAAACCAGTATTATACCCTTGTCATGTCAAAAACCACTTTTTGACCAACCCTGGTTATAATATGGGACTTAAAGTATTAAGATTACGATTAGAAAAACCAATTAATAGTTTCAATTATTTTTGCAACATTTTTTAAATGTGAAAAAAATTAAATATAAATCATAGTTATAATAAATATAATGTCTCCAGTGTCAAAAAAAAAAAACTTGCCCCAGGATTTTGACAGATTTCAACAGTTTATGTCAGTGTTTGATACTTTATGACAGGTTTTTAAAGCATCATGTCAAAACTCAAACCTAATTAATATTATTAACATTAGTTTATGAATAATGTAAATATTCATGTACATATAAGCAAAAGTGCAGAAAAATTTCAGTACCTAACAATCCCTATGAACAAAGTTTATTTTTTGATCAAAATTCCCAAAAAATTTTAGCTTTTTTTTTTTAATACAATAACTTTTTCAAAATATTCTAGGAAAATAAAGTTAAAATAAGAAAAAAAATTCATCTGATTTTACACAATTCTTGAATAAACAAACATGTTATAATAGAAAAAAAATTATATCGAAATAGTAATTATTCATTAAATTAAATTTAAGGTCTCACTTATTAACTTAAGGAACTTGAATTAATAAATACAAATATTTACATGTTTTTTAACCTAAAAGTTTTGCCAACAACAAATTTTTTAACAAAAAATTTTGAAAGGAATATTTTTAGACCAAAAGTTTCCCCATGGTTGTCTGAATTTCCTCCAAAGCATTGTTCACTCAATCAGACAAATTCTGCTGCCCCGAATATAATTAATACCATCAAATATTAAGAATAAAAAGAAAATTATACATTGAGATTAGACAATTATTGGCAAACACTTTAATTTGACTTAACTTAAAAAATCTAATTAAATTAAAAGAATTAAAATCAACATTTATATTGATAATAATTAACAACTCACAGTTATGACCAATAATATAAACGAATAGTTGTAATATGGGTCTTAAAGTATAAAGATTATCATTATAAAAATCAATTAATAGATAGTTTCAATATTTTAATAATTTTTCATGTGATATAATATAAATCATAATTTTAGTCATAAGTAATGCAAGTATTGTGCATGAATAAGTATCTAATAAAATGTCTCCAATATCATATATGAAACTTGCCTTAGATTTTTGACGTGTCATGTCAAAAACCCAACCCTGATATTATCTCACTCTTGATGCAGTTTTTAATCATCCAAAAATATATCGAATTTAGGCAAAACAAATAGGAAAGTGTGCAAATGATAAAAAATTTAAAATAAAACAGTAAAGGTAGACCAGCTGGATAAAAAACATGATTCATAAAAAACATTCTTACATTTTCTAGAATCTCTTCTACGTGCAAGGAAAATTAATCAAAGAGGAATTATTCCAGTACACATGGAATCAGAATTATTCGGCAATCACAATTTAGTTAACAAATGTGAATTTCTTTTAATTAATTATGCTCATTTCAGATCCTGCATTCTTGATTACTTTGGTTCATAATAAATATTTGTAATGCGTACATAGATTTTGTTAAGCTGTAATTGTGTAGAACTGATTAGTACCACAGAGTGCTCATCTCAGTTCTTATGTTAAAGAAATCAATAATTAATAATACTACAAAAAATCATATAAAATGAATGTCAGAAAAAAAAGAAACGCAATTAATCAAAATAAAGTTTTATTGCAGTAGGCATGCAGAAAATACTGCACTTTCATATGGTTTCTTGTGAAAAAGAAAAAACTTTTTATGTTGAAGAAAAAAAAAAAAAAACAGATTTCTTAGAATGAGATCTCATGCAATCTGCTATATTTTTAATTGTTTTAAAAAAGAAATTTTAACGGTCAGGATGCATCACTAAGGCAACCTAAACTCTCCTTTCTTCAACCCTGCAGGTAAGAATATACAAATCCAAAGTGAATGTGAAATCCTTAATTGATTTTTTTCAAATTTAATGGTGAGAGTCATTTAAAAAGAACACTGCCAAAAGTGAAGTCAACCCTCCTCTATCTTTAACATAATTTTTTAATAAATTTGGCTTAAAAATTAAACACCAAAAATATCATTGTGCAACCTTGAACAATAATCCATTATGTGATTAAATAGAATAAAAATTAGCTATTAGGTTTATTTAGCAAAGAAAATAATGAAAATATTTTTATTCGCTCTTGGTAAAAATTAATAAAAATGTACTAATATTTAATCAGAAAAGTATGAGGAATGATTAAAAAACAATTAAAAATACATACATTAAACGAAATATGTAAAGTCAACAATAGCATGACATACATTCCAGCGAGACGCAGAAAATAAGCAGTACATTTTTGTTATAGAAAATGTTTTCATTAAATATTAAGAAGGGTCTGCAGATATTCAAGTAATGGTCAAATCAGTATACCTCTTGATTATTTTATAATGTCTTGAAAACTTATATATATTGTTTACATTGAATATTTCATCTAAAACAATGCGCTTTATTTGTTTGTTGTACTTGAACATCTGGATTAATAGTTTAAAAAATTAAAAACAAACTTTTACCAAAATGTATCATGTTTGATGACAATTCTTTTGTGCTATGTCATCATACAAATTTTTTAGAACTGTTGCAGTGTTTTTAAAATTTATTCCTTCTTTAAGGAATATAAAGTTGATTTCATGCTAATATTAATCATTTCGCTTACAGACTACTGGGTGTACACAAGTGGTATTTTTTTTTATACCCCACGATTTTAAAAAAGAAATTTAATATTTCTGATATGAATTGAGAGCTCAAGTCAGTAAGATCAAATTCAGCTAAGTTTTAGCAAATATAAGCAAAAAGACAATCAGCGACAGCTTTGCTTGTAATTTTGCTTACAGATTTGTTAGAAAATTTGGTTAAGGAATGATAAACATAATTTAGAATATATTGTTGAAGCTGAAAGAAAAAAATTTAAAGAAAATTCTGGCGGCCGTTCAGAAATTATTTTATAAAAGAAAAAAGCCTACATTAGTTTTTAGCGATGTTTATTTTTCACGCATTTTAGGGAAGATGTAATTTTCCATATATGCATTCATACTAAACTAAATATATCTAAATTTTTAAAAATAGGTATGATTCTTTAATTTCAAAATGGGGTAAATGAATTATTGAAAGAAATTTAGATTTCGCAGATTTCAGAACAAAAATTTCTGATCGTTCTCAAGACATACATATTAATAATTTTCCTGTGCATACGTTAACATGCACCTGCGTACTGAAATTTAACCAATATTAAAGTAGATATAAATCATTACAATAATTAATACATATAAATAATCTTCTTAATAATAATTGATAAGTATACTTATAAAATCCTAATTCTATTCTTCCAGCTTTCTGTTAAAAAGGAAATTTTTAAAAAAGGTATGATAATAAGCAGAATAAAAGTTTGCAACAATTCCACTTTCACAGCAAATCAGCTAGGTTTTTTCCAAATTTTTATAAGATATTTTCTTCTAGATATGTATATTTTTCTCTAAAATAACATTATAGTAAACTAAAATATCCCCAATATTTTTTTTTAAATTAACTGATCCAAACTGGATTTTATTATTGGCATAATAATGATCGTACCTGAAATTACAGTCCATGGCTCTCAACGCCATATAAAAAATCTATTTTTGCCGTGCTACGAGTAGAAATATCAGTAAAATAGACATGCGTCATTTATCAACTTCAGATCTTATCAGCTCCACAGATTTCTTAATTAAATCCAATTTTCTATAATCTGTAGCAATTCGAAGGACTTGACGAACATTTTGGGGAACAATCTGTTCAATTAATTTCTTTTTCTAATATTTTCTGTGGCAAGTAGAGAGCTTATTCCAACATCCCAGCATAGTAACTAACATCACATGAGTCCTCATCGTTAATGTATGATTCTCTATTCATAACAGTTGTAGCACTAGCAAAATTGAGTATACTTAAGCGCGGCGAGCTCTCTGCTTATCACTTATAGCTCTGCGTTTCTAGCAAAATTGCTTGTAGGAACAACCATTTCGTTTCAGTCGGGTTGAAGTATAACAATATCATAAATAGTTGGACTCATTCTCTTAACAAAATCCTTCTGGCAATAAGCCGTAGTATCTTCCACTATAAGACACAAGTCTTTGTTTTCATCAAATGAATCGCATTTTAAGATTTTCGTTATTGTTTCAGAAGTCATTATTATTAGTTCTTGGAATTTAAAGAATTTGAAAAAATTGCTAAAACTCAGACCCAACCGGATTAAACACGTTAGGACTGTTGCCAACTTCCTTTTGTTGATTATTGTTGTCGATTTGTGCTCAATTTAGGCTTATAAACCTTTGTCAAACAGAAGGACATAATATCAAAATACAGAGAATGAGAGCACGAAGATACATCCAGTGGGTAACGGTGGGATTCGAACCATAACCATCTAGAAGGTTCTTTCTAGATGGCTATGTTCGAACCCGCTACCTACAAACTTTGCGCAGTGTTTGACAGGGAATACCGCTTGGCCCTGGAGGCCCCGTAGATTTGTTGTTTATTGTTTGAGCTTGCATTTCAATTGAAAGGAGATTCTTCCTTTTTCGTGTACCGCAGTGGACTGACACGGTTCCCAGAAGAACACCAAAGTCAAGCATAATAAGCTGAAGTCATTGTGCGGGTGGGTGACCACTTGGATCAATCCACGGAGGGCCCGAGGTGTGCGGCATTGGTCCCTATTAAACTGTTCTACCACAAAGTGTTCGACTTCGAGGTCAGGTCGTCGGGCTACCGAAGCGGGGAGGCCATTCCCCCTGCAGATTCCCCCAAATTCTCACAAAAAATTAATCATATTGAAGCAAAATTTTTTCTTAATTTAATTTTTTATAAATTTGCTGTATATGGATATGATTATAAATTAGAATATAAATAATTTTGCTTTGTTCATTGTTTTTTTAATTATTAGATGTCTGAAATTTAAATGTATGATTATTAATTTTTAAAAATATGAACTAATAAGGTGTGCAACAAAAACTTAGTACAATTTTAAAATAATGTAATATTAAAGACAAAAGGAATATTTTAAATAGTTTAGTAATATTTGTTTATAGCCACTTTACTGTACCTAGACACCACTTTCATAGCACTCGCTAAAACTGTTTCAAAGTTCAGAGAATCATTCCAGACATTAGAGGATACCCTGTATGCATACATGAAACTTCAGACACTTGACTGTCGATTCCAGCTGCTGAGTTAGTATATAGTTTTAGGACTAAGAAATTTAATACATCAGTTATCGTTCATTATTGTATGTAAGTTCTTAAAATTTTTCTATAATATTTTTTGATATACATTATTAACATTGATATTTTATTAAGAAGTTAAAATTTGTTTCCAAATTTAATTTACAAATTAACAACAAATAGTTTACAAATTAAAATTTCAAAATTGTTTACCAATTAAAAATGGTATTTAAAGAAATGATCTTACTATGTATCTTAGATTTTTCAAATTACTTCTTGTTTGATTAATTTAATAGTCATAATAAAGTTAGATAAGTTAGATAACAATTTTGTAATGTGCTCCAAATTTGAACTTAGCATGACTTAATAAAATAGTCGATTTTCTTTTTTTTAATTTTCTATATTGTCACTACTGTCCCTTAGTATAAATATTATTAAATTGGCCACTAAAATACCACAATATTTGAACAAAATAGAGGTGACTTATTAGTAAGATTCGTCCGTATTCTTTATATGCAGCTGAAATATAGTTTTCACCAGGATTGTTTCAGACTATGGTTAATGATTTTTGGATCCATATCAGCGGAAAAGTTAGAATATATCACTCATCACTGCTTTCTCCACCTTTTATATTTTATTCTACTTTCAAAATTAATTTCTAAATTCATCGTTCTTGACCGTTCTACGATCTAAACTTAAATAACACAAAATTAGAGTTTTAAACATAAGTTTTTGTAAAATATTTATTTTTAACATTTTATCACTTCTGTCACTAATGTTTGTAATCTTTTTACTTGAAATATTTTTAGAATAAAAATATAAACTGCAGAACGATTGCTAAGGATAGATCACAAATGGCTGTATAGCACATAAAAATTTGAATGTAGTTAAATGCAAATTGAAATAAAAGAATGCAAGAATGTTAGGACATTAAAATATATATATATATATATATAATTTATCGTGCTCTGAAACCCAAGTTTGAAACGTGTTCAAAGAACAAAGTAGTAGTTTCGTGTTGAAGAACTGAAAACGAAAAATTGCAAATACCATTTGAAGGCATTCGGGAGTAAGATACCTATAGGGGGTTTGATGACCATGTTGGGCGAGTTTCAGAGGTTGTGACATGCTTTGCATAACAGCATTACGCAGCTGCTTGGGCAACTTATTTTATTCCTCTGTTAGTGCATGGATGAGGGTGTCCTTGTTTATTGCTGGACATTCTTGAACAGCAACAGTCCTCTGCAAAGCATCCCAAAAATTTTTAATGGGATTCAAAAATTTTTCGTGACAACTGTAAATGCCCGAAGTCTGGTTGTTGTTGTTGTCGTAGGCTATTTAGGCATGGGGGGAGCAATTGTTTTTGTTTCCCAGTGGTGCCATCTATGGCCAAGAATTCGACTTCTGTCATACCCAGATGTCACACCAGTTCATAGGGCGGATTCATTCATACATCCATTCATTCATTCACAGATCGTAACATTGACCTCAACCAGAGAGTGATCAATCTCCAATTCAGTATCCCCATTGGTAAAATTTGTTATGGGAACATGGAGGACTTTGATCCGACAGATTTAACATGCACCAGTCCCCATTTACTACACGGGAAGTCTTCGGCCTCTGGATTCGAACTCCCGTTCGTGAGAACGGGAGTCCAGCGCCCTGAGAACCAGACCATCCCAGCTATCCGAAATCTGGCATGAATAATGTAAGTCGACTTATGATTTTCTTTGAAATGAGAACTAGAAGGATTAAAATAAACTTTGAAAATTGTTATTAGATAAGCATATTTCTTTATTTACGAATTATTATTATATTTACGAATTATTATTATACATATTTACGAATTATTATTATACATATTTACGAATTATTATTATTGTCATACCAATATAATCATTACATATTTCCTAGCTTTTAAAAATTCTTTAATTTTAAAAATTAAATTTTTTTATCATTCTTAATTAAATTTAATTAAATTTTATTATTAATTTAATAAATTTATATCTTTATTACATTTTTATTAATTAAACCCTATTAATAAATTTTTATTATATTTTTAAAAAAGGAAATATAAATATTTTATTCTCTTCATAACAATCAATCTAAAAGGCAACTTTTTTTAAAAAATTCAATACGAATGAATAACTCATTAATTCACCTTTGCGACTAAACCGAACATAAAAAACTATTTTCAACTATCTTTTTTTAGCTATTTTACTTCTCTAAGCGCAAAAATGCTTCAGTTACAGGGTTACATATTTTTTCTCACTGCCTTTTTTGTTACGAAGCTGAAGCCTAATTATTTAAAATTTAATACTAATTACGCGGATTAACTATTTATATTTTCCCATGTTCCTAAGTGCGTTTGTAACTTTTTATTACACTTTTAATTTAAAATTCTTGGCTGAGGGATTGGTGGTTTAAGGAAGCCATAGGACTCCGCAGTTCGACCGTAAATTAATTATAAAAATTTTATAATTAATTTTTAAATGGTTATTCTTCTCCATAAAGGCATATTATTTTGTTGCTGCTTATTATTTTGTAATCTTCTGCATATTGCCATATTTGTATCTTCCATAAACATTTTAAAAGTAAAGCAACAAAAAATTTTGTCCAAATCTTTTTGATAATAATTATTATTTTTATTTCAAAAACAAGATGGGGAATACTAATACAGTTTTTAACAAATACATGCCTAATTTGTTTAATACATTTTTATTAGAAAAATTAGATTATCATTCAACATTTCTTTTTAATTTACATTTTCCTATGAGTAATTTCATAAAGGCAACCGAAATATACAATTAACAATGGATGACTTATTGTATGAAAAACCTTAGGGCTACAGAAAAGCACTGTTTGGAAACCGCTGAGTTAGACTATCAGAAATTTGAATTTTACGCAAGGTTTTTAATGAATATTAATAAAACTGTTTTTATGTATTCACTTTTGGCAGTAGGTAACACAGCCGTAAATAAATATTTACAAAATCTTTTCTTGAAATGTATATAAATTAATTTCATGCTTCGCGTGTGAGACACAACCATGAAATCGCCCAACAACTTTAATTAGAAATTTTTTTAATGCCGTTTTAATTCAAATATAAACACAAATAATGATTTACGCGTGTAAATTTCAACGGATCTAAACATTGATCAATGAATTAAAACTCAGAATAAACGAAGAAACGTGCTATGATTTTTTTTGGTGCCCCACCTAAATTACTTCCTGATAGACAAAAAAAATTGCAAGGTTATGATTAATTAAGTTATTGTTGTTTTCTTATTTTCCATTGACTTATCTATTTATAGCATGAATTCTATTTATACACTAGGATTAATATATTAACATTTTCAAAATCTCTTTGAACTTAATAATTATCTTCAAAGAAAGGTGAATAATTGCATCCCCCAAGGGTTGTTTAATTAATGTGCTCAATCGAACTCTACCATTTGTATAAAAAAAATACACGAATAATTTATGAGCCGATTAGAGCATGAATCTTAAGTTCTTTTTTTACGACATCGAGTAGAACGAAAGCTTGAATCTTTCATGAAAACAGAGCGCATAAAAAATAATCAAGGCCGTAGCAAGTGAGGGTAGCGTCGGACCCGGCCTTCCTATTCTTCGAAATGAAGATACTACAAATTTATTTTTTAATCTGAATAATAATATTATATTCCTTTAAAAATTACAATAATTACATTCTAATAATTATATTATTGTAATTGCAAAGTACAAAATAAAATTTAACGAATAGGAAATGCTTTATGATAAATCAAATTTTTCCCCCTCAGGGGAAATATTTACATTACTGTCTTGTTTCAAAATAGACATTTACAAGTGTCCGGGAAAATTACACTAGGTATTAGAATGATACACACTCTCGTGAGTTGAAATCATGGTTATTTTTAACCGAAAATTCTCTTAGAAAATGTTTTTCTGAAAATGTGGCATATTATTATGTCATAAGTCTTTCATTAGTATAGATCTAGTATTTATTATATATTTTTAGTGATATAAGTTTTTTGAATAATGATTTTTTTTTAATGATTATTTTTCGAATAATGATTGTATTTTTTTTTCAACTATGTTCTTGATAATTTAAATCTTTGAGCATCTGAAGCATAGGTTCTAAATCTTGTGAGGCACTAAATTATATGCATGTTGTAATATTCTTTAGTCAGTATCGTATTGTTAAATTAT